CTCTGCAAGGGCTGTGGTTTTTGTGGAGCGACGGGTAACGGTGCTTCGAGGGTGACTGTTGTCGATGTGTGCAGAGGGTCCCTGGTTCAAGCCCAGGTAGGGGCGAGGAGAGGGATGGAAGCAACACTGTTACATTGGTGCCGTGACCTGGATCACTGGTTGCTGCGGAAAAGGAGGAGGTCAAAAGGGGGGTGAGTGTAACCGGTGTGAAATGGCTAGCTAGTTAGCGGTGCGCACTAGTAGCGTTTCAATCGGTGACGTCACTCGCTCTGAGACCTTGAAGTAGTTGTTTCCCTTGGTAGGGGCGAGGAGAGGGACGGAAGCAACACTGTTACACTAGCACAGACTGGAATATGTTTCCGGGATTCTTCCGATGGCATTGAGGAGTACACCACATCAGTCACTGGCTTCATCAATAAGTGCATCGATGACGTCGTCCCCACAGTGACCGTACGTACATACCCCAACCAGAAGCCATGGATTACAGGCAACATCCGCACTGAGCTAAAGGGTAGAGCTGCCGCTTTCAAGGAGCGGGACTCTAACCCGGACGCTTATAAGAAATCCCGCTATGCCCTCTGACGAACCATCAAACAGGCAAAGAGTCAATACAAGACTAAGATTGAATCGTACTACACCGGCTCCGATGCTCGTCGGATGTGGCAGGGCTTGCAAACTATTATGGACTACAAAGGGAAGCACAGCCGCGAGCTGCCCAGTGACACGAGCCTACCAGACATGCTAAATTACTTCTATGCTCGCTTTGAGGCAAGCAACACTGAAGCATGCATGAGAGCATCAGCTGTTCCGGACGAATGTGTGATCACGCTCTCCGTAGCCGATGTGAGTAAGACCTTTAAACAGGTCAACATTCACAAGGCCGCAGGGCCAGGCGGATTACAAGGACGTGTACTCCGAGCATGCGCTGACCAACTGGCAAATGTCTTCACTGACATTTTCAACCTGTCCCTGACTGAGTCTGTAATACCAACATGTTTCAAGCAGACCACCATAGTCCCTGTGCCCAAGAACACTAAGGTAACCTGCTTAAATGACTACCGACCCGTAGCACTCACGTCTGTAGCCATGAAGTGCTTTGAAAGGCTGGTCATGGCTCACATCAACACCATTATCCCAGAAACCCTAGACCCACTCCAATTTGCATACCGCCCCAACAGATCCACAGATGATGCAATCTCTATTGCACTCCACACTGCCCTTTCCCACATGGACAAAAGGAACACATACGTGAGAATGCTATTCATTGACTACAGCTCAGCGTTCAACACCATAGTGCCCTCAAAGCTCATCACTAAGCTAAGGACCCTGGGAATAAACACCTCCCTCTGCAACTGGATCCTGGACTTCCTGACGGGTAACAACACATCTGCCACGCTGATCCTCAACACGGGGGCCCCTCAGGGGTACGTGCTCAGTCCCCTCCTGTACTTCCTGTTCACCCATGACTGCATGGCCAATCATGATTCCAACGCCATAATTAAGTTTGCCGATGACACCACAGTGGTAGGCCTGATCACCGACAATGATGAGACAGCCTATAGGGAGGAGGTCAGAGACCCAGGATGGTGCCAGGATAACAACCTCTCCCTCAATGTGATCAAGACAAAGGAGATGATTGTGGACTACAGGAAAAGGAGGACTGACCACGCCCCCATTCTCATCGACGGGGCTGTAGTGGAGCAGGTTGAGAGCTTCAAGTTCCTTGGTGTCCACATCACCAACAAACTATCATGTTCCAAACACACCAAGACAGTCGTGAAGAGGGCACGACAAAGTCTATTCCCCCTCAGGAGACTGAAAAGACTTGGCATGGGTCCTCAGATCCTCAAAAAGTTATACAGCTGCACCATCGAGAGCATCCTGACTAGTTGCATCACCGCCTGGTATGGCAACTGCTCGGCCTCCGACTGCAAGGCCCTACAGAGGGTAGTGCGTATGGCCCAGTACATCACTGAGGCCAAGCTTCCTGCCATCCAGGACCACTATACCAGGCGGTGTCAGAGGAAGGCCCTAAAAATTGCCAAAGACTCCAACCACCCTAGTCATAGACTCTCTGCTACTGCACGGCAAGCGGTACCGGAGTGCCAAGTCTAGGTCCAAAAGGCTTCTTAACAGCTTCTACCCCCAAGCTATAAGACTCCTGAACAGCTAATCAAATGGTTACCCCCTCTTTTTACGCTGCTGCTACTACTCTCTGTTTATTATCTATGCATAGTCACTTTACCTCTACCCACATGTACATATTACCTCAATTACCTTGACTAACCTGTGCCCCCGCACATTGACTCTGTACCGGTACCCCCCTGTATATAGCCTCGCTACTATTATTTTACTGTTGCTCTTTAATTATTATTATTTTTCTATTTTTCTTCTTTTTTTATTTTTACTTATCTATTTTTTACTTAACACTTATTTTTCTTAAAACTGCATTGTTGGTTAAGGGCTTGTAAGTTAGCATTTCACTGTTGTATTCGGCGCATGTGACAAATAAACAATTTGATTTGAAATGTGCATATTTTCTGGGTGACCTAAATATTGAGTGGCTTTCATCAAGCTGTCCACTGAAGAAAAAGCTTCAAACTGCAACCAGTGCCTGCAAACTGATTCAAGTTATCAGTCAACCTACCAGAGTATTTACAAACAGAACAGGAACTAAATCATCCACTTGTATTGACCACATCTTTCCTAATGCTGCAGAAATCTGCTCTAAAGCAGTATCCACGCCCATCGGATGTAGTGATCATAATATAATAGCCATATCTAGGATAAACAAAGTTCCCAAGATGACCTAAAATAGTGTACAGTATAAGTGATCATACAAGAGGTTTTGCAATGATTCCTATGTTCAAAATGTGAAAAATATTTGTTGGTCTAATGTGTGTAATGAGGAACATCCTGATGCTGCACTTGAAGCATTTATGAAATTGCTTATTCCAGTTACTAATAAGCATGCACCCATTAAGAAAATGACTGTAAAAACTGTTCATTACCTGTGGATTGATGAGGAATTTAGAAATGGTATGGTTGCGAGGGATGAGGCAAAAGGAATGGCAAATAAGTCTGGCTGCACAGCCGAGTGGCAAACGTACTGTAAATTGAGAAATCATGTAACTAAACTTAACAAAAAGAAAACAAAACTGTACTATGAAACAAAAATAAATGATATAAAGAATTATAGTAAAAAGCTTTGGAGCACCTTAAATGAAATATTGGCCAAAAAGGCGAACTCGGCTCCATCATTCATTGAATCAGATGGCTCATTCATCACAAAATCCACTGATATTGCCAACAACTTTAAGGACTGTTTCATTGCAAATTTAGGCATGACATAACAACAACAAATTCTGAACCTACACATTCATACATAACTGACCAAATTATGGAAGGCAAGCATTGTCATTTTGAATTCCGTAAAGTGTGTGTGGATAAGGTGAAAAATATATTGCTTTCTATCAACAATGACAAGCCACCTGGGTTTGAAAAATTGGATGGAAAATTACTGAGGATGATAGTGGACTATATTGCCACTCCTAATTGCCATCTCTTCAATCTAAGCCTACAGGAAAGTGTGTGCCCTCAGGCCTGGAGCGAATCAAAAGTAATTCCGCTACCCAAGAATAGCAAACCACCCTTTACTGGTTTAAACAGCAGACCAGAGTCAGCCTGTTACTAACCCTTAGTAAACTTTTTGAAAAAGTTGTGGTTGACCATATACAATACCCCATCCATTTGCGAATAATCGCACCAACTGTTGTCACCTTCTCACCAAGCTGTTTGGTGATGGTCTTGTAGCCCATTCCAGCCTTGTGTAGGTCTACAATCTTGTCCCTGACATCCTTGGAGAGCTCTTTGGTCTTGGCCATGGTGTAGAGTTTGGAATCTGATTGATTGATTGCTTCTGTGGACAGGTGTTTTTTATACAGGTAACAAACTGAGATTAGGAGCACTCCCTTTAAGAGTGTGCTCCTAATCTCAGCTCGTTACCTGTATAAAATACACCTGGGAGCCAGAAATCTTTCTGAT